AAAATGGGGAGTGACGCAAGGGTGGGAAGGTAGCCAGTACAAGGTGTGTTATGAAACTATTTCCCACTGTGGACAACTTAGTGCAGTTCTGCTTGGGACCTCCAGGAGGCAGCAGAGAGCCATGATCAAGGGCTGCTCCCAAGAGACATGTTAATTCCCCAGCAAAAATGCAATCCAAGAAAGCCCCTGGGCAGAATAATGAAGGTGTGCAGTCAGAATATGAGGGGACATAGGTAGGGCCCCAGCAGCACCTGCTAAAATACCAAAAGTGCCAGTGGCACCTGAATTGCTTTTAGACAATTGTAAAACAATGTCCACCTTTTGAGTACCTACTGGATACCAAATCCTGCTCAGACTCACATTATCTGATTGCTGTTATACCCCCATATTCCAGAAGAGGGCGCTAAGGCCCATGCAATCCAAGGACATTAAACTCACACATACTGAAAGAATTTGATCCTGGGAAGCACAGCTCCAAAGTCCATGTGCTCCATGAGGCAGAGGGGCTGCTGCAGGGTCAGATGCTCAGGGTAGGAGCTGAACACTCAGAATGGGACCTGAGCCCTGACCTGACTGGATCCCACCAAGCTTTGAGGGGAGAGCTGTCTGTCAAAGCCAGACCCTTAGATCCAGGCGGGGGTGCTGCTCAGTATAGGCTCAAACCACATGACGTAATGCAGTATTTTAACAGCAATGCACTACACCTGCATGTCTCAGTTGGGCCGGCACCTGGCCCAGGGATGCACCAGTCAGGACAGATCAAGTTACACTGCAGTAACAACTAACTCCCACATCTCAGTCCCTTCAGTCAGCTAAGGTTTTGTTGACACTCATCAGCAGGGCTCTTTACCTGTGTTTACTCTGACTCATGGAGCAGCCCCCATTTGGAATGTTACAGGTCGCCAGGGTTAAGAGTTCTGACGAGTTCCGCACTGGCCAGGAAGTGATTCACATTGCCTCTGCTCACAGCCCATTGGCCGGAACTAGACATGTGGCCCCATCTAACTACAAGGGAACCAGGATAAATAGCCTGGCATGTGCCACGAAGGCCTCTGCACCCTGGTTACTGTCCCCCTTCTCCAGATTAGGAAGTGGAGGCCCAGACACATTAAGTCACTGGCCCATAGCCACACAGCTGGACGGTAGCAAAGTTGGGTTTTGAACCCAGAGGCTACTCTCATCACAAATATGCTATAAACACAGTCCTGATTCAGTGGAGTCCTGAGCATAGACTCTGGACTTGCCCAGGCCTGAGTTCAAATCCTGACCCTGCACCTCCATGCTGCTCGCCTGCCAGGCAGGCGAGTGATTTCACTCTCCAAGCTTGTTGCCTTTTGTAAAATGAGTAATAAATCTTCCTTCCGCGGGTCTTCTTCCCAGCAGAGCTGAAGGGGGACCTGGAGGGCCCCCCCTGGGGCCAGGCAAGCCAAGGGCAGGCCTGAGGTCCCAGGGAGGGGGTACTCAGAGCAGATGGTACAGCAGTACTTTGCTATTTAAATGACCGAGACAGTTAGGCTGATCAGCAGCTGTGCCCCAGGCCAGCCATGAGGGGCCAGGCATGGAGCTCCACGTTGGCATCTCTGTCTTGTGGGTCCCTATTCTAGAATTATTTCCGCGATGCCTGGAACATCTTCGACTTTGTGACTGTTCTGGGCAGCATCACCGACATCCTTGTGACTGAGTTTGGGGTAAGTTTCCCACCAGCTTCTCTCTGGGCAGCTCCTGGCTGGGCGTAGGGTACGGGGAGGGGGTCATCCAGAAGCAGTAGGTCCCCACGGCCCTAGCTGGCTCAGGCCAGTTCTTGGCCCCGAACAGAGAGGGAGAAGCGGGGCCCTCGCAGGCAAGGGTGGCCCCTCAGGGGTGCAACTCGGGAAGACGGGTGCCCAAGGCCATGGCCATGGGGCCAGTGCTGCAGTGCACACTCCCCTTCATCGTGGCTGTTGGCTTATGAATACATCGTGTGGCTGAGTGCACAGAGGAAACTGAGACCCTTAAAGGATCTAAGGCTGAGCCCCACCCTAAACCCCACACAGTGTTGGGGTCCCAGAAGGATCCAGCTGCAAGTCCATTCTGCGTAAATTAGCCATCTTCTGGTTCATGTGCAGAAGGGAGCCATGGCCCTTGGGACACCAGGGCCTTAGGAGGCTCCCTAGCACATCCACCCTTCTCTATCCACCTAGGGGTTCCCAACATGGGGGTCTCTGGACCTCTCTGCAGTGGCCCCACAGGTCACATTGTCCTGCCTTGTATGGAAGACTCAGGGCCCCCGAGCTCGGGTCCAAGACCCCCTCCTTGGCTGTTTGCCAGTGAGCCCAGGCTAGAGGGTCCTGGGGAAACTGAGAGCAGGGTAGGATATCCTCGCAGGGGAGCAAAAGAGCAGAATGAGTCAGAACCAAGGGCCGGGCATGATATTCACCTCGTAATAATAGCAATAAAAATAATGATGGCCGACAAGGATGGCACACTCGCTGCGTGCCAGGCACTGCGCCAAGCATTTTACATGGATTAGCTCATGGTATAGGTCAGGGCTCAGTATATAAAAGAATTCCTTTGACGAGTTCAAATGAAAGGATCAGAAAGCAAGGACTGCTTACGGAGGGGAAGGGAAGTCACCCAGCATCCATCCACTGTGAGGAGCTGTTACCTGCCCAGGTGCTGAAGTCGGGATGGAACCTGAGCTGGATTGGGAAGGGGCTACCTGGTGGTAGCTGTGGACGTGAAGGAACAGAGTCCCTGATAGAGACAAGGGCCAAAGCAGGAAGAGAGCATCGGGGGAGAAGTACCCCAGCCTTTCTCTCCCCCTGTCTCCTGTCAGCACTTCCTATTAGCTACGCCCAGCCAGAAGGGAGCCAGAAGCCGGGGATCCAGCGTGGTGCTCAGAACAGGCAGAGAAGAGCAGAGAATAGATCTGGGTGGGACGGTGCCTGAGAAAAAGGTGTCGCCCAGTTTTCACTGATGGGGAAACTGAGGCTCAGTGCTCAAGGAAGTAAGAGACCTGCCTAAGGTCACACAGCCAGATCTGGTGACTACTGAGGACATATTGGTATCTCCTGGCATGTCACCATCTGCACCTCCAGCAGAAAAGGATCAGTTGGCCCACTCTTGCATCCTGGAAGACTGGGGAGCTACTCAGAAGAGGGGCCCATTCTCTGATGATATCTTGGCCGCACCTCTTTGCCTTCAGCTCCAGTGAGCCAGAAGCCCCCCTTCTCCCCATCCCATACCTGACACTTTCTTCTAAAGAGGTCATGCCCACCTGGAGGCTGTTGTGCCTATTGGTGTGCCTATTGGGTTGCCCCCACCTGGCCACTGTCCCCTGGCAGAGGGCCAGAGCCAGGACCTCATCTTTGTCCTAAGTTTCTAAGAGGTCTGAGATCTAGCTGGCAGTCAAAATATCTTGCTGTCCAGCTGAGTTCAAGACAGCCTCGAACCAATGTCCCTCGGGGTCAAGAGGTTGGAAGGAGTGGCCCACCACCCCAGTAGGGCAGATGGAGGAAGCCGGTTAAAACTTTCAGTTGCCAGTAAGAGATTCATAGGGCTGGAGCCCAACAGCCTATTCTGGCTGCAAGACAAGTGGGACATGGGTCTACTGCAGTAGTCAAACAGCTTCCCCGACAAGCTGTTTGACCTTGGGCAATGGTGTGACCTCTTCTTGTACATGGAGATAATCTTCATAACCGACACCATCATATCTCTGCAAGCCTCACATTCATTCATGTATTTCATAATGCATTGAGCGCCTGCTGTGTGCCAGGCATTGTTATGGGTGCTGGAGACAGAGCAGTGAACAAATCAAAATATACAAGAATGCCTCTGCCCCCATAGAGCCAACATTCTAGCGGGGAGATGGCAAATTTCAACAAGTCAGTGACCAATGTGAAGTGCTTGGCACAGAGCCTACCATGAAATTAAATAGTTCACAAATGGTGGTTATTATTAATGCTATTATTACCATAGATGAACTCGGGATTGCAGTTGGTAGCCAGCCCCCTGGCTCTAGATTAGAATCATTTGGAGGGAAAGATAGAGGGGTGGGTGTTTGGACCCTTTTAAGGATGATAAACTCCCAACCTGGAGTCGGGGAGGCCTGCCAGGCAAGGAGCCCATAGCCACCCCTTTCTGCCTCCCAGGTAAGCCCACCGGGTCTGAGGCAGGAGGATCCAGACCCTCGGGAGGGCAAGTCCCCAGGGTTTGTGGGGCAGAGGGCCTGAGACCCACTGGGCCTCAGCTGCTGCCCCCAAGTGGCCGGGGTGACGTGGGTTTGCCCTGCGTGCAATGGATAATGACTGTGTTTCTTGTCTTGTCTCTTTTCATGCCTGCTCTTTAAACTGTATATTGGCACAACGCCGTCTGAAAAACTCATCCAATCAAAATGCACTATGAAATTCATTTGTTCATCCATGACGTGGTCTGTGTGTTCATACACCAATGACTATCTCCCAACCCACCACCACCCCCACTCCCCGCCCGGGAACCGAAACCCATTGGTTTTTTGGCACTGGTTACAAATCAACCTAAAAAACGCTGAACACGCCTCCCCAACTGTCCCCGCCCGCCCGCTCCCCCTCCATCTTCAACATCTGCATCTAGAATCCGGTTGGTCTTACTTCTTTCTGAAGTCTAAATGCCTTACATTAACTGTGAACGCATCTTCCCGCATCAGCATTGCACGTCATGCCCTGGGCTTTCTGACTCGGAATGCCTGACGCTCCCCATCCCTGTCTGTCTGTCTCCCTCCCCACACCCCCACCCCTCATCAGTATCTCCCTCCCCTTACTCCCTCTTTCCTCCCTCCTCCTCCCTTTCCCTCCCCCTCTCTCCTTGTTTTCATTGGGTTCTGAATTGGGGTTTTCCGTTTGGCTTGGTTTGCGTCTTTCGCAGAGAAAAGGATGGGTTTGCCAGGATGGGTCGGCTGGCCGGATCTCCTGCACCATCGCTTACACACACCTGACACTAGAGCCCTCAACTACCCTCAAATCACACCTGTACCCTACTGAGCTCCATGGAGCCCGGGCCCCAAGAAGGGTCCTTTCCACCCCTCACCTCGTTCCAAACCCTCGAGCTCTTTGGGCTTGACCGCCAAAGACAAAAATCTCCAAATCTGATGGAGGAGGTCTGAGGGACGGCCAGCGTGCAAGCAAAGACTCTCAGGCGAGGGGGACTCAGAACGGTCGGGGCTGGGTCACGCTGCTTCCAGGCAGACCGGCCAGTTGAGGCCTTCTCCTGAAGCCCTGGTCTGCACACGCACGTGTGCCACTCACACATAGTCACTGCACACACGCGCCCCCTTCTTCTTTGCTGTTTCTGACCTCCTCTCTCCCCACTGCACACGCACACATGCACGCACGCACGCACGCACGCATACACTATCCCTGTCTTACATCTGTCCACCCTGCACACCCGGCCCCCACCCCAGCACACACCGTCTCCATCTCTCTCCTTATTCAGCTCCTTGCACATGTGCACACCCCTCACTTTGTTAAACCCCACCTGCCTCTCGCCCACCCCTGAGCCCCTTTGAAAGTCCCCCAATGGCATTTTGCACCAGGATCCCTTGCCTGCTAGCAGTACCAAATGTTTAATGAGCCCCACTTTGATGCCACGGGTGGAGGGGTGGGCAGGAGCAGACACTACCTCACCTGCAGTCAGGCGAGACAGGCAGGCATTGGTCAAATCACCCCTCAGACCCACCTGAAATTGTAACTGTGCTGCAAGCTGAAGGATGAGCAGGGTTAACAAGGTAGAGAGTAGGAAAAGGGCATTCGGGGCCCAGGACACCATGTGCGAAGGCCCAGTGGCAGGACAACATGCAGAGGTTGGAGTCTACAAGGGAAGGGAGGGACATGGCTAGAGCAAAGATGGCAGAGGAAGGCTGATCCAGAGGCAGTAAAGAGGGCAGGAGTGGGCAGAACCCTGGGGGCCTTGTTGGAGGAGCCTGGGAGGATTTGGAGCAGAGAGGGCATGATCAGAAGTGAGGTTAGACAAGACCACTATGGCTGCAGAGCCCGGAGTGGTTTGGCACTGGGAATGTGGGCTGGAGGTGGGCACAGGGAATCCCAGCGAGGGATGGCAGACAGCAGAGGAGGCCATCAGAGCACGGGCCTCTGCAGGCCCCGGGGGCGGGTCCAGTCTGGGCCAGGAGGGAGAGAGCTACCTTGAGTAACTTGAGTCTGCCTTCAACAGGGAGATGGAGGTTAGAGAATTCCAGAAGAGGGCCAGACTGGGGGATTTTGCGTGAGTGTGGGCACAGCGGGCTTGAGGTGTCTTTAAGGAAGAAGTCAAGTAGGCAGGTGGTTATGGGGTCTGGAGCTCAGGGCCAGGTCTGGGATGGAGGTGGCAGAATTTCCTGCAAGTAGTAGGATTTCTCTGGAGTCTGGGTGGGTGGTTCCCACGTCGTAATACCGAGATGCGCAGGGCAGGGTTGGAGGAGACGACAGCTGCTTTTGGGAGGCTGTGGACATAAACATGGAAGCTAGGAAGAGGGAAGTCGCTGGAAGTTCTGTGAGCACTTGAACGACCTGATGCAGACCACGGGAAGCGGGGGAGGTGGATGAGGACAGACTAGCACCTTCCCCTGCCCTGTCACCTGTACCCCTCTCATCTCCACCCCCTACCTCTCTGTGTGTCTCCCTTCTCCCTCAGCTCCAAGAAGGGCAGCATGCTCTCTGCACGGCCTCCCTACAAGACCCCCTTGCTTCTCCTGCATGGTGGCAGGCTCCCCTCACTCTGCCCCGATCCCCTGAGGCTGCTTCCAGGGCCCGCCTGCCTCTGCATGCTGAGCCACGTCCACATGTTATGTCCCACCCCAGGAAGGGATGGCTTGTACTCTGGGGATGGGTGGGAAGGGGCTGGGGAAACTGGGGCCATCAGCCCCATCCCCAGGTGGAGCTGGTTGGCTAGGCAGGGCTGAGAGTCAGGTCAGTGGGGCATAGTGTGACTTTCTCTTAGTTCAGCTGGGTTTGGGGGCTTACTCAAAGCGCTTGGGACGTTGTCACTGTAATCGGGCCCAATGGGGTCAGGGTAGGCTCTCCCAGCTCCCTCCCCCAACTTAAAGATGTCAAGGCCAAATGATGTGTCCCAGAGAATGTCTTAGACTTTCCAGCAAACTCACAGGCATCTTGCCAGCCCCAGAAATTCATTGAACCCCCATCGCTGCCTCTCAGCTCCTAGGCCAGAGTTAGCAGAAGATACAGATCTGGTAGCTGGGACGCCCTCGGGAACCATTTATTTCAGCGTTCACACTTTTGAGACCAATAGGAGTGGTAACAGGGCCACCTATACGGTCACCGCTGTGCCATTTGGGGGTGAGAGCGGGGCCAGTTTAAGTCTGGCCTCCATGCCTGCGTATAGGGCTCCTCCAGGTCCCGTAGCGCAGAATCCTGTTAAGGCCTCTCTGCCTCCAGCCTGCTGGGCATTTGAGCAGGGGAGGTTTCCATATCTACCTGAGCCCAGGGTCTCAAACTCAAATGCCTCTGGGGTCCAAGCAGAGGTTGTGAGCTGGGAAAGCAGGTGTCATTTCTAGAACATGGAGATCTTGGCAAATGGAGGACACATGGCCCACTTCAAGGCGGGGGAGGGCAGCTGCATCTGAGCCCCAACTAACTGTTGTCAGGACAGAAGCAGATCCAATTTGCCAGAAAGCCAAATTTGGGGGCAAAATCTGATTTTTAAATACTGGCAACTTTTTAATTTTTAAAAAATTGCTCAGGCCCAACAAAATAACTTTGTTGACCAGATTTGGTCCATTTGTGACTTCTAGTACCTTGTCTCCCGCCAGCATCCCGAGGCCCCAGCAGGCAAGTCCTGGGACAGTCACATAATGACCATCATCTCTGGCTGGCTGCCTCCCTCACCCCCCAGCTGTCTGGCCCTAGGGTTCTGGCTTGGGAGGGAGGAGGTAGAGGCAGTGACTAGACGGGGTCTTTGAGCAGAGACAGGGGCCACCCAGGGAGGTCCTGGGGGCAGGGATGGCCCCACCTCCCCGCCCCCAGCACCGGCCCCTCGGTGGGCCTGGGCTAATGGTGAGCTCACCCACCCACGGGCGCTGCGTACTTCCTGCTTCCCGCAGGCCTGGTCCCGTGCTACTCCACCCAGCCCCAGAAGCTGAGAAGCCATCCCTGAGGGGGGAAAAGGGCCCCAAATGCATCTTCTCCGACTCAGCGGGCAGCGAGGACTCGCCCTGCAGCCGAACAGCCCCAGCTCCCTCCTGTCCTCCCCATGCCCGCTCGCCAAGGGGGTAAGAAAAGATGCTCTTCCACTTCTCCAATTGGCTCAAGTCCTCTTGGCCGTGGGGTGAGGTCAGGGCGGGCAGGAGCGGGTGGGCCACTCGGCAGGGCAGGGCAAGGTGCCCAGTGAGTCCCACAACAGATGCATTTCTGGCCTGGAGCGTAACATGCCCTTGGAACCCGCACATGCCCACCAGGCCTGAGCGTGCTGGCTCTCCCCACCCCGCCCTGGTGTTTGTGCATCGTACACGTGTGATGGATTCGGCAACTTGACCCGCTTGTGTCCTATCGTCTCAGTGCATTTGGTTGTTGGGAGAAACAAAAACCATCTCGATTTTTTTCCTGATTGGATGATTCGGATATATTTTCTTTTCCTTGTTCTTTTGTTATTTCTTCCCGCCCACCCCACCCCTGTTCCTTTCTCTTCCTTCCTTTTTCTTTCCTTTTCCCCGTTGCGGGTGGGGCTGGCAGGGAGGGTTTATGCTTTTTGAGTGGATGCTTCTTCCTCCTTCCCACCCTCTCCCGACCCCGCCCTACGTTGTTCCTTTTTCAAGTTTTTTCCTCAGCACCATTGCATTAATAGTGCTTTCTCTCCTCTCCCTCCTTATTTGGGGTCTGGCTTGCTTTTTCCTGTTGGTTGGCTTCATGTAGGGGCCTCTGTGAGTGGTGATGGCTCTGAGCCCCTGGGGGTGGGTGGATGGTCACCCCTCTTTCTCCGTTTCCCCAGAATAACTTCATCAACCTGAGCTTCCTCCGCCTCTTCCGAGCTGCTCGGCTCATCAAACTCCTCCGTCAAGGTTACACCATCCGAATTCTTCTCTGGACCTTTGTGCAGTCGTTCAAGGTGAGCCACTGCCCCTCCGCCAGCCCAGGGCTGAGAAGAAAAGCAGAAGCCCCCATCCCCGACTCTAGCTGAATCTAGAATGCAGGCTGGAAACGCCTCTGTGGTGCTGCTTGCTGAGAATGTTATCTGCAAGGCTCTTGTCTAACTTCCTTCCCACCAGGCTCTGCCATATGTCTGTCTGCTGATTGCCATGCTTTTCTTCATCTACGCCATCATCGGGATGCAGGTGAGCACCGGCCCCCCTGATGTTCCCCGAGCCTCCTAAAGAGGGCCGCCACCCTTAGCCAGAGGTGGTTCAAGGGAGCACCGTTCAGAGAGGCAGCCATGGGGGTTGAACAGAGCTTCCCTGGAGCGACTTAGGGGCACAGCTGCCCCTGGTCATCACCCTGCAATTCCCCCAGGTGTTCGGCAACATCGGCATCGACGTGGAGGACGAGGACAGTGATGAGGATGAATTCCAGATCACTGAGCACAATAACTTCCGGACCTTTTTCCAGGCCCTCATGCTTCTCTTCCGGTGAGGGGGTAGTCCTTTTCCTTCTCTTGAGGGGGCATGTCTTCAGCCTTCTCTTCCGGTAGGGGCATATCCTTGTCTTCCGGAGGTGGGGGCGGGGGCATGCCCTCAGCCGGTTCTTCCGGCGGGGGTGTGTCATTTTTCTTCTCTTCCGGTGGAGGTTGCGTGCCCTCTACCTTCTGTTCCGGGGAGGCTTGGAATGGGCATGGGAGACCAAGAGACCCTGGCAGGGCAGTTGCTGAAGGACAAGGGATTCAGCCCTAGAAGGCATTTTCGGGCATTGTTTTACTGAGTCTTCCTGACCATCCCGTGAGGTGATGATTCTCAGCAACCACATCTAACAGACTTAGAGACTCAGGCTTGATGCTTGATGCTAGCTGCACATTAGAGTTCTTTCATTCATTTGTGGGAGGTTTATTGAGCACCTACTGTGTGCCAAGCACTGCTGTAGGTACTGGAAACAAAGCAGAGACAACATTCTCTACCCTATGGAAGCTTATATCCCTGTGGGGGAGATAATCAGATGTCAAATTATAGTGGATACTAGAAGGAGATAAAATTCAAGATTAAGAGAGAAAGTAAGGTACAGAAGAACAAGTAATGTATCATTGTACTTATATGAGGTACCCGAAGTGGGCAAACTAATGGAGGGCGGGGAAAAAGTGGAATAGAGATTCCCAGGAGCTGGGGGAGAGGAGAATGAGGAGTTATTGTTTAATGGGCACAAATTTTCAATTTGGGATGATAAATGACTCTAGAGGTGGATCGTGGTGATGGTTGCACATCATTGTGAATGTGGTTAATGCCATTGAATTATACTCTTGAAAATGCTTAACACAATCAGCTTGATGTATTTTTGGCATAATAAAATATTTTTTCTCATTTAACAAAGAAAAAGGAATGGAGGACTGATCCCTGGAGGGGGTTGCTATCTGAGAGAAATAGGCAAGGGAGGGAGCTCTGTGATTATCTGAGGTAGGGCAGTCCAAGCAGTGGGTATGGCAAGTGCAGAGGCCCTGAGTCAGAAGCATGGCTGGCGTGTTGGAAGACGGGGAGGAGCCCAGTGTTACCTACAGAGAAAGTAGTAACAGATGACTATCACCTGGAAGGAGGGAAGTCTTTTAAACACGCCTGTGTCCTCAGGCCCCACCCCAGACCAGTTGAATCCAAGTTTGTGGGAGTGATGCATTGGCATCAGAATTTTTAAAAGCTCTCCCATGGGCTTCAATGCACAGCCAAGGGTGAGAATCCCCTCTCTGAGCTCCCAGAGAAGAGAGGTGACTTACCTTGGACTCGAACCCATGGTCCAGCGCCAGAGTCCAAGTGCTTAACCTAGATGTTCTGCTTCCCTGGGAGGCATTGGTGTCCAGAGCTGTGTGCCCAGGTCCCTGATGACCCCTCTCTGTCCTCAGGAGTGCCACCGGGGAGGCTTGGCACAACATCATGCTTTCCTGCCTCAGTGGGAAGCCATGTGATAAGAACTCCGGCATCCTGACTCCTGAGTGTGGCAATGAGTTTGCTTATTTTTACTTCGTTTCCTTCATCTTCCTCTGCTCGTTTTTGGTGAGTCTGTGGACATGTGGGGGTGAGCTCCCTAGAACTGGCTCCCTCTCAGGAGCGTGGGTTTCTCTAGAATGTGGCTGTGTTGCAGACTGGCTGCCTCCAAGCTTCTCTGAGCCAGCCTGGGATCAGATTACCCAGGGTTTCTCATCCCCGGCACTCTTGTTCTGTACGTGACAAGATGTTTAAGAGCATCCCTGGGCTCAGCCCACTAGATACCAGTAGCACATGCCCCACTGCCCTCCCAGTTGTGACAACCAAAAATGTCTCCAGACATTGTCAAATGTCCCCTAGGGGAAAGGGGCAGAATTTCCCCATTTGAGACCCACTGGGTATCCTGAGAGAAAACCTAGTATTGCTGAGAGCTGGTCCCAGGACCCATTTAGCTGAACTGTGGGAGACTCCCACCTTCTCTCTGAGAGCTGGGTGCCTTCCTCTGTACAATCAAGAGGCAAGAAAAAAATCAACCACATAAACATTATCTGGGGGATTGGGGCTTTGCAAGGGATTGAATGGATTTTCACTAGTAAAAGATGAATTTGCCAGAAGAAGGAATCTTACAAGACCCAAGGATAAGAAACACTGTAAAAGATAAAAAGCAGGAAAGGAAAAAAGATGGATGGATAGATAGAAGGAAAAAAAGATGATAGATAATAGATTAGATGATTGATAGATGATAGATAGATACATACATAGATACATAGATAGATACAGATAGATGATAGATGGATAGATATAGATAGATGATGGAATGATTGAGAGAGAGATGATAGGGAATCACACAAGCTGCCTGCTCCGTCCTACTTTCACTTTCTCTCTCACTCTCTCTGGGGCCTCATCTCTACAAACCTTGTTTGTTCTCTGCTCTCCCTGGAGCAGTCAAGATTAGACGCTATCTAGGTATTTCAAGCAGATGGGATTGAATACAGGGATTGCCTACACAGGGTTGAAAAAGCAAACAAACAGCCCTGAGATTACCAGGGATTACTAACTGCAGGAATGACAAGGCCGGGGTATTAAAAGGAAAAGAGGGTATTACTGAACGACACCCCCAAAGGAATGCTGGCACCCCAGCTATCTGCTCCCCCTGAGCAACTGCAAACAGTACTAGTTTCTTGCAGCTGCTGTGACCAAGTACCACAAACTTGGTGGCTTAACGCAACAGAAATTTATCCTCCCACAGTTCTGGAAGCTAGAAGTCCAGTCAAGGTGTTGACAGGGCCAAGCTCCCTCCAAAGCCTCTAGCGGGATCCTTCCTGGCCCCTTCCAGATTCTGGTGGCCCCAGGCGTTCCTTGGCTTGTGGCAGCATCTCTCCAATCTCTGCTATCTGTCATCACGTGACCTCCTCCCTGTGTGTCGGTGTCCAGATTTCCCTCTTATGAGGACAGTAGTCATACTGGATTTAAAGCCCACTCTAATCCAGTCTGACCTCATCTTAACTTGATGATATACACGGAGGCCCTTTTTCCAAATAAGGTCACATTCACGGGTATCAGGGTTTAGGATTTGAACATGTCTTTTGGGGAACACAGTTAAACCCACAAGGTAGACCCTTGCTGGAAGCAGAGTGCGTCTCCTCTCCTCCCGCTCCTCTCCTCTTTGCCTCCTGAATGTGGCTCCCACTGGATGTGAGAAGCCAGCTGCTGCGGTCCTAGAGGTAGTATGGGAGATGTGGTTTGTAGATCCTGGCCCTAACACCAGCAAAGGCCCAACACACCCACCCTCTTCACACCAGTGACCTCACACTGGAAGACCTACAGCCTCTGTCTCACAGCCACTGACCCAGAGGGTCCATTGCCCAGTTCTAGATTCCCAGAAGAGACGGACCGTCCCAGCCCCTATTCAAATGGCCACCCTTGCCCAAGCAGCTATGGGTGCATATAGGGACAAGATCTTATAATGCAGGCTATCTGGGAAGGGCAGTCAGTCACCCTAGAAAACATCACAACACTTGACCATCAGCTAAGACAGTAACTAGCATACATCAGGTACCCACCCAATCAATGTCATGAAATGATGAATTAAAAACAGTCACTAAAGCTAAGGACATCTAGAGTTACAGGTCACTTATTAATCACCTATTAGGTTTATGCCTAAACCTTTATTTAATACCTACTATGTGCCAGCCCATATGCTAGGCACTGGGGATATATGGAGAAAGCATGGTTCTCTCAGTTTGCAAGGTTGATGGGCAAACAAGTCAGCATACAATAGCAGCATAATCCCGTATGTGCTTTGATGGGGAGATTCAGACAGAAGGAAGATTTCAGAGTGGTCTAAAGGGATGGTGAGCAGGAATTCGACCACAGAATCATCAAATTGGTTTCCAGTAATAGAAACTTAACAGAAACTAACTTAAGCAAAATATACAGTTCACTAACTTGTGTAACCGAAAAGTCCAGATGAGGCCGGATCCAGGCAAGCTGACCCTGTCCTCTTTGCTGTTCTCCACACTGACCTTATTCTCATAATTTCTCCTTATAGAGGCAGGATGGCTCACAGGTGCCAGAAAAAAATCCCAGGGAAGGCTCTCATTGGCCATGTTGGGTCATGTGCCCCTCCCTAACCAATCACAAGCCTCGGTTATATGGTTACCTCTTATGGAGCAATGAGATAGGAGTCAGCCACACTCAACCATGGCATCTAAGCATAAGGAGGGGGTTTCCCGGGTGCTGTTACCCAAAGAGAGAAAAATCATGGTGTTCACTAAAGGAACAACATTTGTAAAAGCCTGGAGGCAAGACCTATGCAAGTTCTCCATGTGCCAAGGACTAGAACCCATGAAAAGGAGCTGCCAGTTGCAGATGAGGGCAGAAAAATGCATCCATCCATCCATTCATCCATCCATGCAAGAAATATTTGCTGAGTGCTTATTTTGTGCCGGGGCTGAGAACGCCACAAGGTTCTTGCCCACATGGAGCCCTCACTTTGGTCTTGATAGGGGCCTTGGAAGGATTTGGAGTCATGGTGGTCCCCTTGGTGTTGGCCTCTATTTCACATGGCCTCTCCCTCTCTCTCCAGCTCTTTGTCACCATCTTTCTCTGTCTCTGTCTGTCTCTCTTCCCCATCTCCATTTCTCCATCTCTCTGCCCGGGCTCCTTGTCTGAGCATGTGTCTTTCCTCCCTGTCTCCCCATTTCTTTCTCTTTCTGTCTCTTTTTCCTCATCTCCCGCCCCCTCTCCCTCTGGGCCTCTGTGTATATGTGTTTGGATGGATCTCACTCTCCCCCATCCCCCCTTGGCCCTCCTGGTCCCCACAGATGCTGAACCTCTTTGTCGCTGTTATCATGGACAACTTTGAGTACCTCACTCGAGATTCCTCCATCCTGGGGCCCCACCACCTGGATGAGTACGTGCGTGTCTGGGCTGAGTACGACCCCGCAGCATGGTAAGGAGTCACCCCAGATCCTACAGCCACACTGCCCACCTTTCTCTAAAACTGGAACCCTGGTTAGGTCAGGCTCCAGACTTTGGGGTGTTGGGTCCCTGGGGAGTGAACAGGGACCTCAGGGGGGGTCGGTCTGAAGGAAGGTGATGAGAAGCAGCACCTTCCCACACCCCAGGTTAAATGCTTTGGGTACCACCCCTGCCCAAGCCCCAGGCATTCTGGAGATGAGGGAGTCAACCATGAGGAGTTCACCACCTATGAGTCTCTCCTGCCCCTCATGGTGAGGCCTCCAGATGACGAGGACAAGTTTGCTAGGCCCCAGAGAGGAAGCCTCAATTCTCCTGGGAGTGTGGGGAGAGCTCCCTCGGCAGATGGGATTGGCTGCAAGATCAGGGTGACGGAACTCAGCTTCTGCTGAGATCCCAGGACCCTGGAGCAGGTGATCACCCAAGTCCAGGGAAGAAGACACAGAGGCTTAGTGACCGTCGCATGTTCGTGCTCACAAAAAGGAGTGAGCTCTCCCAACTCCGTGGGCACTAGAGTGCCCCCTGCTGGTGATTTCAGAGGGTTGGCTCCACCCCGTGCATGGGTACTGAGCCCCTGCTCAACACCAGGCACTTGCAGGACACTCAGAGGTGCTCAGAGCCCATTAGCCACTGACTGAAGATTTTAATTCAGCCTAGGCTTGGGGCCCAAGAAAGCATTAATGAGCATCTGAGCACTGGAGGAGAGGACTCACGAAGGCAGGGAGGAGTCGTTCCTAGCCATTCCTGCAGCCCCAGACAGGTCCTCCATGAGACCGAGAAGCTGGGGTGAACCGTGGGTCTGGGACTTGACTTTCGGCTGGTTCCTAACTCTTCCTCTTTTAATTTTAGGTCACAGCAGTTGGATGCTGTCCCCCTGTCCTCTATTCCACGAGCTCCCCCACTCGTGTAGCCCATGTAGATTGTGGAGGAGGGAGGTGCAGAGAGAGCCCTGGGGGAGGTGCCCTCAGCCCAGAGCTCTTGGCACACCCCAGCCGAAACTCTCTGCCCCCCAGGGTCTGCAAGTGGGAACATCTCAGGGACTTTCACTCGTCCCAAGTCTTCCCAACCCCTTCAAGCCAGGGGTTCCCCAGCCCCTGGCGTCACAACCTCACTGTGTGCTCAGGGAGCCAGAGTGAGGGCAGCTTGACCCCCATGCCTCCACTAATCCCCTCTCTTCTCCTTTCAGTGGTCGGATTCATTATAAGGATATGTACAGTTTATTGCGTGTAATATCTCCCCCTCTCGGCTTAGGCAAGAAATGTCCTCATAGGGTTGCTTGCAAGGTTTGATTTCCACTAAAACCTGCTAGCATCCATGGAATGAGTGTGGCTTGGGGTTCTTCAATATATATATTTCATATATATATATATATATATATATATCTCCAAAAAAAAAAACAGAGCCATCTCTCTCTCTTGCATTAAACTAGAAAATTCTCTTAGCCAACAGAATGCAGTCACGTAGACTCGATGAAGCATGGAACATACCTCTCCGTTCCCTTCAGCCATTCTGCTTGCTCTTAGCTGAAGCTGCCCATCCCAGGGTCTCAACGGCACCCCAAATCAGACACATCCGGGGGGATCGTAACTTCGCTTTGTGCCCCCCACCATCACCTACACTCTCTCCCCCTCCACCCTTCGCCTCCTGAAGCCCCCAGCCCTTCCCCCACCACCCCAGCCCCTCCTCCCCATCTAGGCCCCCTCAGAGACCAGCCTCAGCCAAACCGGAGAACTTGACCCCATTTTTAAAATAAGAGCGAACCAAAACATTGCTCCAGGCCCCCCAAAATGAGACTCACCCCTCATTCCACCAGAACCATAGCTCAGAGTCAAAACTGAATCTGACTTTTCTCTTTTCTCTCTCTCTCCCTGCTCATGAGCAGTGAAATAATCTTTTTTTTAATTACCTTTTCTTCCATTTTTTTTCCTCCTCTTTTCCATTTATTTGAAATACCTATTTTATTGTTCTCTACATCTTTCTTTCTATATTTTTTCGGCTCTTGTGGTTTTGGTTTTGGTTTTTTCTTTTTTGTTTTTTTCTTCCGTCCCTTCCCCTCCCTCCACCCCCCCTACCCCCCCCCTTTGATTCTCTGTCCCCCACTCCCGTTTTTGTTTTCGGTGCTGCCAGGGGCCGCATGCCTTACCCGGACATGTATCAGATGCTGAGACACATGTCTCCGCCCCTGGGTCTGGGGAAGAAGTGTCCGGCCAGAGTGGCTTACAAGGTAGATTACCTTTGCTGACCACCGACGTCCGGGCACTGGGGATTTTTCAGTGCTGGCCAGGAACAACCAGCCGAGTCTCTTTTTCCAGCGTTCCTCTTCTTTTTTTCTTTTTTTTTTTTTTTTTTCTTTTTTCTTTCCTTTCCTCCTCAAGTAAATGGATCATGACCATCCCTTGACTCTCAGCAGCACACTGTGTCCGTCCTTTCTGATGAGTGTGTCTTGGTGTTTTGAGACTCCATTATGGCCGACATGCCGGAGGGAGGGGGAGGGGAATCCCCAGGTCCCCTCGCATCTGGTCCCAGGGAACCAAATTGGATACAAACATGCCTGGGGGTGGGGTGGTCACCACCTTGCCTCTTTTCTACCCACCCAGAGCAGTCTTCATGCCCAGGCCGAGGCAGGTACCTTTCAGCAGGGGGGTTTTGGCCCCCAATAAGGCGAGGCCCTGGCCCCATCTTTTGTATCTTGAGCCCCAGGTCCAGCAGCCTCCCACACACACACTCCTGAAGCTGATCTCTGACCTAGGGCCTTGGGGGATCCAAGACATCCCAAGGAATACCCACAGCCTCTCCTCCCCAGTCCCCCCTCCCCCCAGAGTGCTTCCCCAGCCCCTGTCCCTATGCCACCTATCTCCCCCCGAGACACCCCAAAATGCCTCTCCATTGTTCCAGAGTGGGCAGGCGGGCCGCAGCTGGACCCCTGGACCGTGGCACCCTGATGCAGGCCATGCACGCTGCCTTGGCGGGAGCCTGGGGCGGGCAGGCACCATGGCCGACCGGGGGTGGTGGTGCATGCTGGCTGAAGAAGCAAGGGTCCTGCCGCCAGGCGGCTGGGCCAGGCCACCCCTCTAGACCCCATCCCGGAATCTCCCTTGGCACCCAAGGACAGATGCTCTGTTTCCTCCAACTCATCCACAAGGCGTTCAGAGATGACCTTTAAAGTCCCCCACCCCCGACCAAAAAAAGATGACCCCATCATCCCATTCTCCCATCCACCTCGGCCCACCCTCTGTCTGCGAGAGCCCTCCCTCCCCTGTCATGGCATTCCTTCCTGCCTCCCCACGACTCATTCCTCTCCCTCGTCCCTCCCTACACCCCTCCTCCAAGGCCTGGATGGGGCTGCCCCACCAGCATCTCAAAGATCCCGCACCTGTCCCTCCTGTCTCTAGTTGTCGTCTTGTCCCCCCCGTTGGTCCCTCCTTGCCTGAGTGTGTGTGTGTGTGTGTGTGTGGGCATGCACCCACATACATACCCACAGGCTGGAGAGAAGGGGGCGCCCTTCCTTTCCAGCCATGGTACAGGGCTGCCATGGACCAAAGGCACATTGGTGCAAATTTGAAAAGAGCACCCACCGTCTCCACAGAACATTTTGTCTGGTGGGAAATTGCAATCCAGCGACGTGGTGAGAACCAGACACTTCTTTGCTAGCAGCTGGGAAGCTGTCATTTAAATATACAAATCCACGATTTCTAAGATGGGGATCCCTTTGTGCAGTGCACGACCTGCACAGTCATGCACAGCAGCCCAGTCTGTGTGTGTCTCCGTCTGCGGCCTCCCTCCTACCCCTCCCTCACCCCAACCCCCCTCTCCCGGTCTACTCTGGG